TGTAGGTAGTATATNTGTATATATATATATATATATATATATATATATATATATAATCATATTATATTCTTATGAAGATATAAAATGTTATCATATGTATAACTTTGCAAAATTTTTCTATAAATTCTGCTGATTTTCATTCATATTCACCTTTCCTATTATTTACGTTATTAGATTATTGTTAATTATATGTTAGAGTTTATACAAATTGTTCCATCTTCTATATATATTTTTTAATTTATTTATATATTAAACAGGTATCACTTTACAATAATTTAATTATTAATCATATATGATCCATTTATAATATAAAATTTGATTTCTATATTTTCAATAAACGTAATAAAAATTAAAAATAAAAATGTATATATTGTACATATAACTTGCATAACTCTGTATTTTATTTAACACTTATAACTAACTCATAATAAGCATAAAATTAACTTACTTGACAATTCTGCTGAAAATCTTTTGAGTTTCAATTCTTGATCTGATTTTTTTAATTAAACTAATATCTCTGATTAAATTTTTTTCATCATATTGAAAATTAGAAACAACGAACGAGTATTACAATTACTTTCGAATTAAAAAAAAATAAGAACCGTTGAAACGAGAATTAAAATTGGCAATATCGATATATCTGCAAATAATGAGAAACGATCTCTCGATTTGAAAAGTTAATCGCGTGACCACGAGAGTGCGTTGCAGTTTGTTACAACATGGCGGGTGAGTGAGTGCCTGTGGATCGAACGAAGCTGCCCAAAAACACGAGGGATTTTCAGCTAACCCGTGGTGTTTGTGGGTTTCAGATATATCCTACATCCAGAAAGAAGAACTGGACGATTCTGACGAAGGTGAGTACTGACACGGAAATACATTTTTCATGATTGTAAACGTGCGTGAAAGAAGGGGTTGAGTATTCGGCACGGTGGCCCCACCATCGAAGCATGCCAGTGTCTAGCGTGCATGGCGGTGGCGTGGTCGTAAACTCATGCTTGTTTAAATACATTCTATCTCGTATAATTTTCATGTTGGACGGGCTTAGTAATTTTATTATCATCCATTACAATGCAATTGAGACACTTTTGAACGGGTGTCACATTGCAGTTTTGCTATAAACCGTATGTCACGCCGTGATTCTCACATGCGCGACCAGGACACGAGAGTGTCTCGATGGCGTTTTATCGGTTAGGGGGCGCCACAAAACGTGCCGCGCTGTGTTTACCTCGACCGCAGGCTGAAAAAAGAAGAAAACAGAAAAAAGGGCACGCGGTCGCTTTGCATCCTCATGTATTGTTCCTATCTCTTTCCACCGTTTTCGCATACGAAACACGATATATTTTTCGATATATATTTCGATCATTATTCTTGATTTATAATTGACAATATGATGCGATATTTAATAGATATACACGATGTCTTCCCCGGTAAAATTTTTATTTTATCACGTTTCTTCTTTTATTTATATTGTAAGAATAAATGAAATAATTTAATTACTTATATCACTAATTTAATATAAAAATGTTTATTTACATATCATATAGATATTATAATTAAAATAATGTTTTTTATAAAATCAGTTTTATACTTGTAATATCAATGCACGTAATTCCTTAAAACGGATTAAATCAAACAAAAAGAGTATCCTGAAGGATTAAAGTAAACAGATTAGTTAATGCGCGGTTATTCGCCTATCGGGGTTACTGATCTTTCGACTTTCATGTATTTACTAGTGCCATCTGTCGCATATAAAACTAAACTATATTATTAATTTTCAATATGTTTTTTTATATATGATTTTAAAGTTTCTTGGCACATAATCGAAACATATAACGAGATATCAAAATTTATAATTCTTCGTATACTCGATCGGTATTTGATAATTTATCGTATGTTTATGCAGAGCGATAAAAAAAAATATTTTTAATTATTAGAACAGGATAATTTATTTTTATTAATAAAAAAAGAAATTCTATCAAACATCAATCATGGTAAATAAATATTTTCAAATAATTTTTTGTTTCCGTTAAATCGAATGATTTCCTCGCTTAAAGAGCTATCTACTGCAGGTAAGATTATCAAGCGTGTATGGAAATGAAAGAAGGATATGTAGAAAACTTCTGTGACCAGGAAAAAAAGAACGATAAGATAATCTATTGTTTTTATTAATTCCCGTTAATTCTCGAAACGAGAAAATCATTTGCTTTAAAATATTAAATAGGAGAATGTTCTTAACTTTGAAAATATTAATTTTTCGATTCATGTTTATCAAAACTTTTTTTCCTCGTTTAACGATTACAATTTGATACGAACACTTTTTCTCGTTATTTCATTCATACGTGAATTTTAAATTTATTTTGCGAAGCGTAAAATAAATAAATTCTAAATTGATATCCGGATCTTCGATAAAGATTCGTTTTTACCTATATAAGATAATTATCTTTCTTTATTTCTTCTTCTTTCTCTTCTTATATATACGTTCTTATATATATATACTAGCAATCTCACCAACTGTTGCTTTTAACTAACCCATAGTTGGTTCTAATCGACTTTATCAAACATTCCAGAGGTCGTTTATCAGCTTGGCTTACTTATATTTCCAAACGCGACTAGATAGAAAAATATTTAAGTCTGTGCCCTTCGATCCTCGAGGCAATAACCCGATCTAGATCGCATCGATCACGACATCAATCACACGAATTCCTATCGATGATAATTGAAACGATTCATAAAATTCCTTTCGTGTTTTTATCAATAATCTTACTAATATTTCGAATAATATACGATTTATAATGATTCGTAATCAAGAATCATGTAACGATTCATCTAAATTCTTAGAAATCGTTAAATCGAATTACACTCATACAGTTTTTTTTTTTTCTTTTCTTTTTCTTACGCGAATAATCATTTGCGATTCATGACTCGTGTATTCTGTTTGGTGACGTGCAACAGTAGCACATGACGCACTGCTTCCTGATTCATACTTCCGACTCTACCATTCCCTCGATCATCGACTAGGCGCACATGAAATTTTTTTATGACTTTCGTGCGTGGCCAATTTCGTTTCGGATCTCGTCAAAGTCACGTTTCCTCGAAAATCGTTTTCCTCGAACAACGAGTTAGTAACTCAACGGATTAGCTTTGACTTGTATTTCCAAGCATCGATAACAATGGTCCTCGTCGTTCCACGTCCATCCATGTTACAACACGATCGAACACGTTCGCTGAATTTTTCGAACTCTGACATATGGCGTTGACTACACGGGGGCCACGACGAGCGATAGTAATCAGTCGCGATTATGCAAATGATTCGGTGACTGGCTGTGACAGCTAGCGGGTCCGACGTTTCTTGGGTATCAATGAATCCTTTTTTTCATTCGTGCCACTATACATTGTCATCGTTTACGTGTTGCTTCGTGATTTTTACCTAGTTACAAAATATTTTCAAATTCGTGAATACATTGATTGACTAAGACAGAAGCTAAGATTTTTAATACTTTTCTTTTCTTTATCTATCTTTTTCCTTTTTCTCTTTTTCATCGAGTATTTGAAATTGAATAAAATTTTATTGCAACTATACGCGAGAATCGTTATCCTTCTTGTTTTAGTTTAGATGCGTAATTGAAATCGAAGCGATACATACGTAACAAACTCGAAATTTATCTGGTACGCGATAAATTGGTGTCAAATTTGTTCTCGATTCATAGATCCGATATACATGTTAGAAGATATACGTACGCGTAGATGTAAAGGGATGATGGACCGATTTTAAACGTGGACGCGACGAGATCGATCGAACTCCAACAGGTAACAGGAAAGTTGAAACGAATCCTTGCGAAACATTTGCCGCGAAGAAAAAAGAGCAGTCTATTTAACTGGTGCGTACGTTGCTCCCTATTCTGTGTTTGCGTTTATCGACAAAGTGATCTCTTTCTCTCTTTCCTTTTCTTTTTTTCTTTTCTTTCTGTCCTTTACGATGTCGACAACGGGCGAAGAGGATAAGAAACGAATAAAAAAAAAAAAATGGGAGAGGAAGAGCCATAGGACGAATATAGAGAAACTTTAATTTCTTGGCATTGTGAGGAGTTCCTTGCCCTTTCAGCCTTTTCAGTTCGGTGGTCTGTTTTTGATAGGAGGCCACGTCGTCTAGACACACCGGGGGTTGCCCGGCTTTTATAATCGCAACGAAATGCACCCCTCCGTGCTCGACGCAAAAATACCGGTTTTTTTTCTCCCGTTACGTTTCTCTCTCTCTCTCGCTCTACTTCTTCTCTCCCTATTTCGCCAACGTTGAATTTCTCTTTACCCCCTTGGCCTCGTCACCCCTTCGTTTCGTAGCGACGTGCCGCCGCGTTACATTAAAATGATTTATTCTCTTTATTAAATTCGCATTCGAGGCTACGAGAGCGCATTCTCGACTCGCGTGAATCGAATCTCGAGACCGGATACAGGCCAACGATACGGTGTCTCTTTCGGTGGCGGCGACCTGTCTGTGCTCGAACGGAACTGGCTTCCCTCCTCTCGACCGAGAAGGGTAGTCAAAGGTCACGGATGAGTATACATTTTTTCGTCTTTTTTACTCCAACATACTTTACTTACTCAACGATCGTGACCGTGTTTATTCTCGTTGCAACCACTGCGAACCGGTTGCCGTTATTATGCCGAAGAAAACTTTTGGCAATCGTTTTAAAAATTGAAACGACGAAATACAGAAATATCGAGGAATAAGGATAAAAAATTGTTGTCGATCGCGTCGAAGTACAAAATTTTCGAACAATAACGATTCAACGAGGGAAAAATTGATCGTCGTATCGATCGTAAGGGTTGCGCAAATTCAATCCCTAGTTGAGGAGGAAACGCGAAGGAACGGAAGCGAGCCGAGCCGAGCCGAGCTGAGCCGAGCGGTGGCGCCGCCTCTCGTTGGAACGGACGCTCGAATGGCGGCCCGATTATTACATGACATTCCTCGAATACCATCCAGACCTCCCTCGTCTCCTTCGGCAAGCGTAAGCTCCTTCTCCTCCGTCCCCCCTCCCCCCCCGAATTTCTTTCTCCGTCTTTCGCATCCTCGTACGAGCCTACGCCGATCCTTCCCCTCTCTTTCTCGCCTTCCACGGAACGGATCTCTCCAAGAGAGGCGAAAGGCTCCAAAATAGGCCCGCGATACGAATGATAAAAGCATCCCCTTCTGCCTTCCTCCACAGGCCATTGCCTCCACCCACGCCGCTTCTTCCCCTCGATCCTCCTCCTCCTCCTCCCCCCCCCCCTCTCTCTCTCTCTCGTCGT